ATAATCGACTGTGATTGGTCAATTTCTTACTCTTACTTCTTACTCCGTGTATTGTAGACGGGCCTTTAAACTCCACGACTGTCTACGACTTCTATGTAGAGGACCCTTTAGGGTGCTTACCCGTGCAGCGGAATAGCTTATTAACGTGGAACGAGAGCAGAACCAATCACAAGCGTTCTGCGCGAACTGCAAATCACTGCAATTGGTGCGTGCAATTGCAAAGTACAACGTACATTAGAAAATATTAATAAAATGACTTTTTAGTCTAATGAGAATTCGCATCGACTCGAAATAGAATCTTGTTGCAAAGAATAATTCAAGGATAGGAGTCGTATTTTTCCACAGGTATCGAGTTCCTTGGGCCAATTTTCGTCAAGTTCGGTCAATGGATCTCCACGCGATGGGATGTCTTTCCGCGGGATGTTTGCAACACGCTTTCGCAACTGCAACGAAATGCGACGCCGCATTCATGGCTGTATACAGAGCACCTACTCGAAGCGACATATGGTCCTTCCTGGCGGAATTTATTTGTCAGGTTTGACGACAAGGAACCAATCGGCTCAGGATGCTGTGCGCAGGTATGCAAACTGAGATAGAGTGGACGCGAGTTGATAGATTCGCATATACTTGCCGTATACGAATTGGATATATACACTTAATGAATGTTATTTGCGCGACCAAATTTCATCGTCCAAAATTGATGTTTAGGTGTATAAAGCGTGGATCGATCAAAACGCAACATGGAAGCCTCAGATATCGCATTTCGTGGATAGTAAGTTTAGAAATATTTTTATCCCTTGCGCACGTGTAACATCGCCGCGGTAGAAATCACACAGGCGATTTCGCGAAAAGTTACATTTGTTATAGTTTCGTGTAGAATAACGAAGCATTCATATTTGATATTTGAGCCTGCCGAGATAGATTTACATAGCCGTATTAAGTATACGTGTAAAGAAATCAGGTCGGTCGCAAACCTATAATCAACGTGATATTATTGAAAAGCTGTTTAAAAAAAACTTTTAACGAATGGCCTTTCTCTTTTATGATATGTACACGTTTGGACATGTAGAAATGACCGAAATGAATCTTACGATTGCTAACCCAGCGAGAAATGGCTCATTGAATCGACATTAAGG